CACGTCGCGGTGGTTCACAATAAGCTCCAAGAGAAAGCTTTGACTACCGCGAGAATCCACAAATGGATGTGGGGGGGGCGGGAACACATGATTCGACTCGAGGGTCAAATCAGCTTGTCCAGGAACTGAACCGTGTAACGGAACAGGTACACAATGACCTGGATCACGAACGGATTTGGCGTTATGAGATTTATGACCTTGTAAGGGATATAACAATTCCTTAGCGCACGATAGTTAAAACGTTCGATACGTTCGCTTCGTGACGGGCCGAGTCCAGCTCGTCAGGACATCCCTCAACTGCGTGAGCATGTCGCGTCGCTAGTCGACCAGACTGGCTCATTGTAACGGGACCACTCAAAGGTTGTCTCGGCCCTTTAACGCGGAGGTCCTCTTCGTCACTTGAAATGGGCTCGTACTGATAGTACAGGCGGAGACATCCAACGTAAAGCGTAGAATTCGTACGCATCCTAAGAAGTATTCGTTGCCCGTATGACGCAACACACAAAATGGACCGATATACTTGGGCAGTAATTTACTGCTGCCCACGTTTGTCGCTGCGTGTTTTGGTATATATATATATACTGTTGACAGCAAAACTAGGTCTCCTTCATCAAATGAAAGAACATTTGCTCTTCCATGTTTGTCTGCGTTTCTCTTATGTCTGTCTATTGCATCTGCAATAGAGTCTTGAACGAAGCGACCGACCGCTTCGCGAGTCAGCAGAAACTCCTCTGCTGACTCATTATTGTTAACAGCAGTGCGCTTTGTGTGCACTGCTGAAAGAACGTTGTCGTTTTCAGTGAGGGATTCATCGTCCTCACTGTAGCAGTCGTAGGCGGTGCTTAACATACCCGTATCACCGTCATCATCGTCATCAGTGTTGATGTGATCGACATCGGCATCCATCACGTCGAAACCATTGTCGACGGGTGATGAGCAAGAACCAGATTGGTCTTCGTTCGAACGAGTCTATTCCTCCTTAAACAAGATTCACACTCTTTGAAGGCGGGTAAACGTGGATGGTGTAGGTCGTTCACGAAGAACGGTGTATGCGTTGTCGACGCATGCACCGAGTTGTTGATGGAGAATTCCGCCATCGACAAGAACTCACTCCGACTCGTAAACGAGTGGACGCACCCTCGAAGCACCTCTTCGAGAACGCAATAGACGAGTTTCGTCTGACCATCTGTTTCTGGGTGGTCAGAAGTTGACATCGTCAAACGTGTTCCAAGTGAACGGAACACGTATTGCCAGCACTCCGGTGTGAAGCGGGGCTCCCTATCAGAAACGTGTTGACGGGGTAACCCGTGAAATTGGAATACAGTATCGATGAAGACACGAGCACAGCCCTGGGCTGTGATTGACTCCGGTACAGCAACAAGATGTACCATCTTGCTGAAACGATCAACAAACACAAGAATACCAGTATTCTTGTGAACGTCTTTAAGTTTCCCAAAGACGAAGTCCGTCGGTACGACTGTTAGCACTCTGCCGAAATCGGTAGAGTCTGCAAGGGTGCACGGGATGAAGACTAGACTTTACCCGTTGACAAACTTCGCAAGCGCGAATGCATTTGCGCACAAAATCATGCTGGCGGGGCCAGTAGAAGTCACGGCTTACCGTGAGGTAAGTCTTTTCTCCACCGCGATACCCACGTGTTGGGGCATCGTGACACTTATGCATGATGCGCAATCGCAAATTATCATGAGCGGGGACGACGACACGAAGTGTGACGCCGCTTGATATTGTATAGTACAGCACTTCATCACGAGCAGAATACCGTTCGGTTGAAGAGCAGGATAGAGACGTCAAGCTTTTCAAAGCTTGACTGAATGTGTTAGATACGAATCCACCAATCACAGATGAGACTCATCTTCTGCGTATGCTTTCCCCACGTCGGCTAGCAGAATTGGCGACGGAACACTCACGGATAGTGTCGCGACGTTAAAATCACCCCTACTATCGAGTTGAGGAGTCGGCTTGAAATTGGGCCAACGCAAAAGAGCATCAGCGATGACATTTAGTCTTTCTGGTTTATACTCGACGGAGAAGTTGTACTCCGCGAAGAAAGACAGCCACCTAGCTATTCGTTGCAAGAGTTGTGGACTATTTACGGTCGTGCGAAACGACGCATGGTCGGTATAAGCGATGAAGGGCCTATCTCCTGGGAGATAAACAGTGAAGCTTAGTCAGTTCACATTCCATGGCAAGGGGTTCCTTGTCATGTACTGGGTAATAACGCTCAGCTGCTTGCAGCTGACGCGATTGATAACAGACGACGCGCTCAATGCCGTCTGAGACGTACTGCATCAACGCGCAGCTAATTGCAAAATTGCTGGCGTCTCAGACCACATGGAATGGTATGTCCTGGTCTGCAATCGCCAAGATAGGCGATTGCACCAAGCTTTTCTTGATGCCTTCAAAATAGTGCTGACTCTTAGAACTCCATGAAGACCTCTCGTTTTTCTTTAGTAGACTAGAGAGATGTACGGTCATCTTGGCATAGTTGCGCGAGAATTTGTGCAAGTAAGCCGTCAAGCCAAGGAACATTCGAAGTCCTTTGACGTCGACTGGCACAGTCTAGCCACTAATGCTCTCGCATTATTGTGAAAACCTTCCGGACGTGGATTCTTTGAGTCTCCGCTTCCGGCTTTCATTCATAGTTCTGCTGTGGACGAAGGCATCGTTAAAGTAAGTCGGTACAAAATATTGCACTGATCGCAACGGAATTGCAACACATCTGTTAAACATTGCGGGGGCGTTACTTAGCCCCTGTGGCATCAGTAGCCACTTCATGAGCCTACCACTGGGGGTGCTCACTGCTGTGTACGGGATGTCCCGTTCACGCATGAGGATCTGATAGAATCCATCCATCAGATCCATGGACAGAAAGATGGTACTCTTTGCTATACCATCTATGATGACGTCCTTCCTTGAAATCGGCGTTTGAGCCGGTACCGTTGCAGCGTATAATTTGTTGAAGGCTTTCACTATCCGCCACCCTCCTGTGGCCTTTCGCACACAGAAGGTCGGAGAGATGTGTGGAGAGGTGATTCCCTTTCATGACCAGCCGCTAAACGATCGGCTAAGAATTTGTCGATCGCTGTTACCTGTTCACGAGGCAGTGGCCACTGCTTCATGACACAGTATATCGAGCCAGGTTTCAGTTAGATCTCATGCCGAGTGCCTTTGTCTTTGGGCAGATCGCATGGCACGGATTCCGGAAAAACATCCCTGAATTTAAGCAAATCCTCATATAAAGTATTTGTCTTTAAAGACTCCCAAGATTGAGACGTGTATCGCTCAATCCGGGTCTTCTCATCGAGGACACTCTCGTCCATAGATGAGCTACTGAGAACCCGTTCGTTCTCAGCAAACACTTGTGCCGACCGAATATTGGGGACGTACTCGTCCTCTTTGACTAGTACGCAGATCTGCTTGATCTTGTCACTACGCAGATCTCGCAAGAATCTTTCAGATTCTAGCGTTGGCAACTTGACCACCTCCGAAGCTGAATTCGGGGGTGTCACCAGATCAAGTGTATAAGCGCCTACACTTGATCCGTCATTCACCAAAACATTCACTGACTCGGTGATTTCCTGGGAAAAGACATCCGCAGGTGGTTGGGGATCCACACCCTCAACATAACTCTCTCGGGAGTTATTTCTCTCCGAAACGCCGGAATTTTCTTCCATTACGGGTACTATCACGGTCTTATCCTCTTCGATCGACTCTCTTTCAATAGATCGGGCTCGCTCTACGATCGACTCTCTGATAGTCGATCTCGCTTCAACGTGTTGTCCATCCTGAACAACTCTATTCTCTCTTCTCGGATGCACTTTTCTTGGTGTGCATCCGTGTTCCAGTCCACTCGATCTCTTCGAGTGGTGAATCTTCGCCGCAGCCTGTGTCTATACACAGGTGCCGGAAAATGGTTCCACAGTGTAGTGGCCTTCTACACCGTGATCTTGTCAGTCGTACTATCGATCATACGACAAGTGAGGCCATCTCACTCCCCCGTATTACATCCACACGCTTGTGGACGCTCCAAGACGATCATCAGATGACCATCTAATGAACTAATGGCAGGCATCTTAACGGATGGATGCTGCCAGCTAACCCATGGCTGATATTTTCTAAGCCATGTCAGACCGAAGATCACATCAAAATTGTCATCCAAATCTAGTACTATGAAGTCATCATCGTACTGCTTTCCTTCTAGCGTGTAGTGGATTATCACTACACGTTTGTTCACTGTTACGGATGCGCCTGTAGCAAGGCACACCGTCATCCTCGTTAGAGGGAACTCTCGCTCAACATAGTTGAGCCTACTATCTTCTAGCGACTGGCGTCGAACAAAACTGTTCGACGCCCCACTGTCAACTAGGGCGCGAAGTGACATTCCACTCATCACTTCGATCTTCAAAGTGATGAGGGATTCCTCATCACTAGGTGCAGTGACACACAGCGACTGTGTGTTGGGAGCAATCTTCATCAAGAGTCCTGCAAATTCTCTTGACGTTGCTGGATCAGCAGGGTGCTCCACCCCTACTGACCCTGACCGTTTTTTGACGGTCCGACTTGCTGTGCGGCTTAGCTACATGGTCGGGCCCACGCCTCGGACCTTTCCTTGGCCAACGGCGGTCATCACGTCCTGTATTTGGACGTGTTGCAGTGCTTGGGTCACTACACTAATGCGCGTAGTGTCCAATCATCTGAAAGCGATGGAACCTTGCCTTTCGCTTGTGAATCAGAGAGCGAGATTTCTTGCTCTCGATATAACAGAGATTCGTTGGTTTGGGACCTCCTGTTTCCTGTCGTCTCGTCGGACAATAGTTTGACGATCTAGCCTGAGACTGTCTCAGGCTGAAGTCTTCTTGTTCCGCATACGCTATCGCCCTTTCCAGCGTATGGAAGTCCTCTCGGAACATGTAGGTCTTCACCGGCCCATCCACAAGGCCGTAGATGAACACGTTGATGAGCGTGTGCTCATCAACACGTTATTCCGTGGCGCTACACGCAAGGTAGCACAGGTGTTGTGCATAAGCGAGCACATCACGCTTACCTTGCTTGAGCCGCAAGAGCGCAGAGCGTGCTCTGAACTCGGCTCGCGGCGGCTCAAACGTCTCTTTGAGCCGAGACTTCAAGGTCTCTAACGACTCAAACACGTTTGGGTCGTGAAGCTTGATCTTAAAGGCCAAAGTCTTTGCTCGTCCTGTCAAATTGGACATGGCAAAGGTGACTTGCATCTTGTCACCCTCAATGTGACGGGCCCTGATGGCGTCGTCTAGATGGAAGGACCATCTTAAAAAGAAATCTTTATCTGTTCCCTTGCAACTTTAGATATCTATCGCTAAGGTTTTGGGTATACGCGTTTGTGTCGGCCCTCCCATCGCCTGATGAGAGCCTTGCTGTTGTAGCAAGGCTATCTTCTGTATCCGACATCAAGTTCCCCTTGTAGGAACTTGTTGATAGCAGCTTGTTGCTGGACTCTGCTTAGAGACTCCAACATAACACTGATGGCGGATTCGCCCATGATCACACTCGTGCGGCCGACTACCTCCCATTCTGAGTCACTCAGATGGGAGTAGCCTTCACGTGTGACGTGAAAGCTGTCGTCTTTTACGTTCGAAATCTTCATGTTAGACGGACACTAAGTACTCTTTGGACGGACTGCGAAGTGCTACCAGGCTGTAACGGAGCACCCTCTGTTTGGGGTGCCACAAAACTTCACGTGCACTAGTACTTGCAGAGGAAGCTAATCTTATCAAACAGCTAGTTTGAGTAAAGGTAAAAAGAGAACTGTTTTTAACACAGTTAGGCTATCAATATAACTTCAGTCTTTATATAACTATATTAAACTACGTCGTCGTATGACGACAACCTGGTCACCACTCATTACGCGCGTTTAGCAGAGAGTGGTGGTAATGTTGTTTGATCTGTCGTTATCAACCGATCTTCGAGCAGCGCATGAATATCCTACAAAGGGGATAATATTCCTTCAATACTTTCCATCTCGGTTTTATCGGCAGGAGATTGTCACGCTAGACAATCTCCCTATTGACAACATTTGATAAAGTATCATGAAATGGGACCCGCGTCACACCGATTAACAACATAAAGAGTACTGATATTAGTTACTGATTTATATCGAATATCAACAGCGTTTACGCATTCAGCCGAATAAGCTTTAAAACCTGATTGTGGAATCCTCATATCCATGTGCTTACCGACATAAATACACTAGAAACTGCCACGTACTTACGATCAAGACTTATTGGGGTAGTCGAATGGATCAGTCCAACAAAGTTAAGCGATCGGAACAAATGACCCACATGCAGATATAGCACGACATGACGTGCTACTTATCGATTTTGAGTAAGTGTGTAATGGGGCACCCTGAAGCTTGTACAGGTAACAGTGCAAGCTACTTATTCTGACGACAGAATAAGGTGGTGCCTCGGAACTTCACTTACACTGGTACGTGCAGAGGAAGACGGTAAGAAGAAGCGAGTACTCAGTTTAAGTAAAAGTAGAACTGTACTTATCATATTTAATGTATGTTAATAAACCACTGTTTATCCTCATCTAACTATGTCTAAATATACAAATGTGCGTATCAACTATCTGCTCACCACTCATTGCGTGCGTCTGTCGTGGCGCGTCTTCGTTGGTTGATGTAATGGCCTATACAAACCAATTAGGAACTACTCGTAAGTGCTACAGAATATTGTCCTTATGACAATATTCTAAAAACATAACTCTTATAGTTTTATTCTATTAACAATTTCTTATAAATTGTTATGTAACGATGCACCCCGTTACAAAGTGGGTTTATCATTTACTTACGATCTTGGCTTGCCTACAGTGATACCCTTCTACAATAAATATCATCTTGGCACGAGGCGCAGCTATAGATAAATTGACAAATGCCAATTCTAATGTTGGCTAGGTCATTCTTAGGTATATCGTTTGTCGTATAAAAAACTCATGTTGTGATATCACCGGTTAATTTGGCTAGCGCTACTTAACAAATACCTTTCGGTGACATTCTAGCCGAAATAATTCTCTCGACACACGTTCCATATTTGATGTACGGGTTTATCCTATTAAGCCAGTTCTAATGTTTTCCTCTGTCAATCTACTCAGCGCTAATGGAAGCTCCCTGTGAGACCGCAAACACCAAATCTTAGTGTACTCGCGACTCAAATGTGCGCACTAACCTCCTCGTCTAATTTAAATTACAAGAATTCGGTTGTAGATCCGACTGCGACGATCTCAACCTTTTTTAATCTCGGTAGTCGCTATTGCGGTTAAGAATTTTTAAAGTGTAAAAATTACACCTTTTTTTAGGCGTGAGAACCGCCTTCTATGAGCGATCGCGATCGCGCCAACGCATCGTGCTTCGGGTGGTGACAGCTTGGTTTTTATGGTGAGTGGTCAAACCGTGTATGGTGTTAAGCGCGAGTTATCCCTCGAAAAGATAGCGCCAACAGCAAGGGCCAAGGACTCGATTAGGAATTCAGCCCTGAACTGCACTAATTTCGTCATTTTTAGCTTTATGAAGTGAGTTAAGTATTGTGTCGATTTAATGTGTATGGGACTGACTCATTACTAAATTAGGCAAACTTCTGAGTTACCGCTACAATGATAGTTTTTAAAAATGATTTATTCGAACAAAACTGAACTTAGCCGTTTAGTATTCACCCACATTAAAACTCCTGACGCTTCAAGCGGGGCTTATTGTTGCACGAAAGAATCTGAAGTAAGATATTATTGAGAAATTTACATCTAAACAAAACGCGTTGACCAACACGACGTCGTTTTGTTCTGATAAATTTACTGCATTTATATGCCAAGTGACTTGACCGACCATACCGCTGCTTGCTCTAGTTTATCTGCCACGTATGAGTGCTCTGCGTGATTGCCTGAGCTGAAACCTATCGGTCGGACGTGCTTCGCGATAAATAAGTCAAATTAAGGGACGATCACGGGTCGACCTACACAATTGCTGTTTAGTCGTTGGATGTCGTAGGATGCCAACACTGCTTACGGATATGTCGCCATTGCTAAATTTTTGCCCGCTTATACAATCGTAGCTACAAACAAAGATCACAACCCTGCCCGCATTCAGCTATTCGGGCTGAAATTTGTTGGCTTTCTTGAGCTTTTCAACCACATGGCGGTCCTCTCGAAAGCGCTCACGGAGCGTTTTCAGTTCTGTACAGTAAAAGACAGTAAGTAGTGTGCAAAGACATTAACCTCACCGCAAGTCCATGTGACAAACCCACGTACGGTCTCGCTTCTTTTCGCGCGTCTGGAATCGATAGAAATTATCAAGCTCCTTGCTCTTGTGTTTCTTAACAGGCCTAGCAAGCACCTCCTCTGCCTGAATCACACCACGCTTCTTCGTGTTTAACACAACGTGAAATCCCTCGTCATCCACTTGGTTCTTCTTCTCGTTACGCTGACGCAGCACTTCCGCTTCCGCTGCATCGAATGACGCCATAAATTGATCCGCCATGTCCTTTAGGACCGAAAGACCCGGACGATTACGGCGATACCTGGCCGCGTAAGCTTAAACCACGAAAAAATCATCAATAGAGATATCGCTATACAACATTGACCTTCCTCACCTTGTAAACCACCGACTTGTAATGGAGCAGGTGTGCCTAACCGGTCCACCTGCAGCATTTTGTTCAGCGATTCCTCCGTTTTAAATACCGCGTGAGCGGTGCGTGAGGAACCAACTTCAAGCGCATTGTCTCCTTCAGCTTCTTCCGTCTGTTCCCTTTCCACGAAAAGTCCCCCTGATCCAGCAATAATGTGTTGAATAGCGCCAAGTGGCTCGAAACACGCGCGAAGCCACTCTTCCGACGTGCTTGTAGGCAAATTGACAACGTATGCAGTGCGCCCAGTGGCCAAAATACCCTCGGCAGTAGAGGTGGCCTTACCGATGTGCCGCTTGGCGAAAATGTAGCGCTGGAACGAGCTGTGTGGAAGCGGCAGAGCGATAGCGTGGTAGCCTCCAAAAACTGGTGCCGACGTCATGCTGTGCTGGACACGTTTGTTTGAGTGGCTGGTACATTGTGAGGACTGATTGGCTATAAACGAGGCGAAGTTTTGTAATTTCACGGGGCTTCTTAAAAAGAGTATGCTAAAAACAATAGAAGGCAGGAGGCTGAGCAACACATGGCAGGAGAGTGTTCTCGTTACAAGTAAGCATTCCTAACTGCTCATTCAAAGTGTAGCTTTAGAAGCTCAACAAAGGAGCCTGCTTGTGCGACCTATGTCGTTTAAATCTTGTGCTGGCGCTAAATATCATGTCGAACTGTGACGGATTTAGTCGTGTTGCTGAATAGGACGAAGCAAATATGACGTGGCGCTACTACGGTTTGCATCAAACGAATTTATAGGTCAATAGAAAGAGTGATACATGGAAGTTACCGCTATAATCTATGAACAGACCATATACCATAGCAGATCCTCCCAAACAATCACGCCGCAGCAGATCCTCACTTTATTATTTCACGCCGCTGGTTGGTACACACACTCATTATTGTATAATAAAGCAGCATTGCATACAAGAATTTTGAAGAATTAGCTCTCGCTAAAAAGTGTGAAAAGGTGTTTACTGAATGCACGAAGCGTCCACAAAATCTTATATATTGTCATGTATGCATCATTCTGTAGCAAAAACTGCACATGTACATTACGAGGCGATGCGACTATCGCACTGACCGCATGACCTACTATCGAGGCAGCTGGACCAATGTGTAGTTCACAGCTTTTCGTGTGATCCAATGCCCGATCACAACGTGTTTTTAGTGATGATCAATACGATTTACTACCGCATTGGATGTCTTAAATACTGAAAGGAACCTCGACCAGTTTGTGGCAGTAATTCTTTAAAAGGCGGTGTTATAAAAAATTGAATCTTAGGCGCTTGGCCCGGGATCCTATTTCAAATTTGTTCATACTTTCCATACACCGCGAAAATAATTAATTGGGACGCAAGACGCGCTTGAGCTTTTTAATTGACATCACTGTTTGCTAGGATTTTTCTCGCATTAAACGTGGCAAACTGCACAACAATGGATAATCGCGTCACAATTGATTTTTCACGCCTAAGAGCTTGACGACATATAATTTTTAAATTTTGTTGCAATAATCCATTTTTGTGGAATCACGTTTGCTGAAACGATTTTTTTTACAACACCTCAGTTTGAATCGGGCCCTGCTTTAGTGATTCATTATTGATACAAATAAATTAGTGATGGTAAGTCTTGGAAGCATGGGCTACTCTTTTAGCCTCTTTCGATCAGGTCCATGCCTACAAAAATGCTGAAAAATGAAAGCTCAGTCGCCTTCACTATAACGCTAGAAAAAGCACAATTTGCGATGGCAACTTGAAGGCAATAATCAACCCGCAAGGTAGGTCGCTTGGATCTTATTCTTATCACAGAAAAGAACAAAAAGGCTGCAAAACTGTCTCAAGCTACCATTCAGAAGATGACTTGCCGGTAAAAAGTTATTTGTAGTAGGCTGAGATTACATTGCCACGCCTGACGACATGAGTCATGTTGATAATCGAATAGATGTTACAGACACTAGGTATTTAGCTTCTCGCATAAGACATGGTGATACACGATATGCCAGATTTTTAACACGGAAGTCTGACGCTTTGTCAGCACGACAATTGCTAATATTGATCAAAACCATCCGAGATAATGTGAGATGACTCAAACTACCTTTACGCATACCGCGAACACTAGCTCATAAGAGTCAAGATCATACTTGACCACATTCTGGCCACCCACATTTAATTTATAGAAGCGCTTACACCTATTAGTGGTTCTAAGGTAACGCCAACACATTACGTAGAACTGTAAAATCATATTTGATTTATAATAAAATCGAGCTTTCGAGAGATTGACTCTCGTCGATCGCAGTAAACTTGCTTATACAAAAACTAATGCATGATGACTAACATCTGTCAATAAAGCAATGAAGAAACAATGTATGAAATGTTCCCATATTCAGTGCATTCCCTACCCTTCAAGAATGTATTTGCTCGCTTCTAAGTAAGCAATTAATACCAAAGATAAGCAGCATCTAAGAACGATCGCGTAATAGTATCACATAATCAAATGATTCACATAAAATTAAGTTCAACAACGGATGCAGGCACTCACATTAATCCAATTGAAAAACCTTTTTTGTAACGGGGCATCCTTTGTTCGGGGTACAACGAAACTTACGTACAATAGTACGTGCAGAGGAAGCTAGTATACTCAACAGCTAGTTTGAGTAAAGGAAAAAAGAGAACTGTATTTGACACAGTTAGGCTATCAATTTAACTGTAATCTTTATCTAACTATATTAAACTACGTCGTCGTATAACGACAACCTGCTCACCACACAATACGCGCGTCTGGCAGCGATTGGTGGTAATGTTGGTTGATCTGTCTTTATCAACCAATCTTTGAGTAGTGCGTGAATATTATCCTACTAAGGGGATAATATTCCTTCAATATTATCCATCTCGGATAATATTGGTAGGAGCATATCACGCTAGAATATCTCCCTATTGACTCCGTTTGGTGTCAGCATCATGTAAAGTGGTAGCCCGTTACATCACCCCCCCCCTTGCCATCTATGACCTGTCGATCGGATTTAGTTGATTGGGATAGGGTTACCACCGTTGGATCACTCTGGGAAGGGGAGCACTTGTTGGTCAAATTACATCTCATTTGCCAATTCATCGCATGGTGTCAAAGTCTATGCGGTGTGCTGCCGAAGCAGCCAGAAAGGCGGCTGCACGCATGTGTGCGATCGGTGAGAATACTTCTTACACCTCAGCAGCAAGTGATCCTTCTTGTTCTGTTACTAGTGAGCAACAGGCGGTGCCTGTAGTGAATAGTCCACGTGGTGAGTCACCACGTGCGACAGATACATCCGCTGCGTCTGCAGCGGATGCCGCAACTCGCTATGTAGATGAACCTGAAATAGTGCTCATCTATTCTGGCGAGTCGCATGATGCTTCCGACTCGAAGGCGGCGCCTCCAGCCTCCGGATCATTCGCGGCGGACACTACAGGAGCTAGGTTGATTGACTCTGGGGAACGTGGCGGTATCACGTCCGAGATCTTCGGACCAAGCGATTCTTCCGATGAATCCTCGTTTCACGCAAGATTATTTGACACTAGGACGCGTGGTGATGTTGGTGATGCCCCAATGCATCACAACGAGGGAAGCAACTCAAAATATTGAGCTGCCACAGTTGTCAGTGCTCATGCTGACGCCACTCAAAAGACCACGAACCACAATGTACTGCCCCATGCTTCTCAAGTGGAGTCTCCTTGGATGCCGCCATCCAATAATTTTTTGAGTGGCCAAAATGACCACCAAACGGGATCAAATCCCGTTTTCGGACTGTAGGGGGATCAGTCCTCCTGTTTTTAGCACGGAAACTATCCGTGCAGAGGAAGAGTTCTTCACCGATGCGTTTTTCAAACATCGGTGGTACAGCGGCAGCCGTGGCCGAGACGGTAAGGTCTTGGTGCAGGGATGGAATAACCTTATTCATAACATCGAATGCATTGGCCGTAAGGCCTGGCTCGGTAAACTTGACACAGCTCGCATCAGGTTGGAAAAGCGAAACCCAGTCGGTGTACGGCAAAAATATTTCCTGCTTTGAAAAGAGGCAGGGTTACCCTGTCTCTCGTGAGGAGACCCATGTCCAGGTTGCCTGGCCAACTCAAACCGTGCCCCAAGAAAGCCTATCTTTCTAATGTTCCCTACTCTAGGGCGCGCATCTCTTCTGAAATGGCCGAAGGGATCGACACCTTGCAATCCCTGTACTTGCCATCGGGGAGGTCCTTTCCGAAGGCCCTCCTTTGAACGCAGCGGGTTGGGCTCGTTATTTTGCTCGACGAGACCCAAAAAATCAACGATTAGCTGGGCACGAGGCTCCCAGCTTTCCCATGCCTGTGGATAGCCACGCCAGCGGACGAGGTAACTCGTCTTGACGCCCTTCACGTCGCGGTGGTTCACAATAAGCTCCACGAGAAAGCTTTGACCACCGCGAGAATCCACTAATGGATGTGGTAGGAGCGGGAACACTTGTTTCGACTCGAGGGTCGCATCAGCTCGATGTCCAGGAACTGAACCGTGTAACGGAACAGGTACACAATGACCTGGCTCATAAACGGACTCGGCGTTATGAGCTTCATGACCTTGGGAGGGATATTTACAAATTCTTAGCGCACGATAGTTTAAACTTTCGATGCATTATCTTCAGGACGGGCTGAGTGCATCTCGTCAGGACATTGCTCAACTGCGTGAGAAGGTCGCTTCGCTTGTCGACCAGACTGGCTCGTTGAAACGGGACATACGAAGGTGATTTCGGCCCTTTACCGCAGAGGTGCTCTTCGCCTCTTGAAACGGGCTCGTACATGCGGAGACGTCCAACGTAGAACGTAGGATGCGTACGCATCCTACAAGGCAGTTTAATCGCGTATGCGTTGCCCATATGACGCAACACACGAAATGGACCGATATACTTGGGCAGCAATATACTGCTGCCCACGTTTGTCGCTGCGTGTTTTGGTATATATATATATACTGTTGACAGCAAAACTAGGTCTCCTTCATCAAATGAAAGAACATTTGCTCTTCCATGTTTGTCTGCGTTTCTCTTATGTCTGTCTATTGCATCTGCAATAGAGTCTTGAAAGAAGCGGACGACCGCTTCGCGAGTCAGCAGAAATTCCTCTGCTGAATCATTCTTGTTAACAGCAGTGCGCTTCGTGTGCACTGCTAAAAGAACATTGTCTTCACCAGTGAGGGATTCATCGTCCTCACTGTAGCAGTCGTAGGAGATGCTAAATATGCCAGTATCGTCGTCATCATCGTCATCAGTGTTGATGTGATCGATATCGGCATCCATCACGTCGACGCCATGGTCGACGTGTGATGAGCAAAAACCAGATTGGTCTTCGTTTGAGCGAGTCCAACCCCACCCTCTTAAACTAGAGTCACAATCTATGA